GAGATTCACTACCTTCTAACCCTGCTGAGACCCCAGCAATAACTTCTGAAAGCTAAGTAAAAATCATGGATCTGTGAGAGCTTGATCAAACCCATTCAGGCTGCTTTTATTGTTCCAACTAAAAAGAAACCAAGGCCTCACAAGTTGTTTATCTTCTAATAGACTGCTCATCACCTGTTCCCCAATCTTTCTCTGAAAGAAACCAGGATAGAACACATCTCTTAAAACCACAATATCATCACACACCCTCTTTCACCTCTTTTAATATCTATTTCTCTCTCATTCCAGGCCAAACTAGCCCATTGCAGAGAAGGAAGAGTCAGGAAAGTCAGGAAGTGATAGGCTGCTCCACATTTGGCTCCACACTTTTTATATGAAGAGCATCCTCATTCTGACCACCCCAAGAGGCTGACTAACTGTATCCAAGCCCCTGGACTGGTGTTAGAAGGTGCCCTTGGCTTTCTATGCTAGGACCCCCTGACTGAAGGCTATCCCCCTTGTCTCAGCTGAGAACTGCTGACAATTGTGACAAGCCTCCTGGCTTGGTGTCTACACTGAATGGCCCACCAAGACAGCAGCATTCTGAGCCTGCTATCTCTAGCTGAAAGCAAAAATGACAAAAGGCAAGTTAAGGAAAGTTAGAGATCCTGTAAGCCTCCAGGGAGGCTCAGAGTGAGTGAGCCTTCATTATCAACTCACTGTTGTTAAGTGAGAAATTCATCTTGCTGCTTGGCAAATGTGTAAAAGATGCAGTGAGTTACTCCTGATATTGAGTTAGGCCTTTCAGCACCTCTAGTGAATTCCAACACAAATGATGCCTTAAGCCTAACGTTCAGGCTCCTATAAGATTCCATCCATAATAATTTTCCATGAGTAATATTTGGCAGCAATTCATTTGCAGGACTCTATAGAATCCTCTCTCAAATGCAACTGAAATGATTTTTGGAGCCTAAACTGGGCAGGCAAGTGGTTAATGTTAGCTAAGTGGCTGACCCTCTATCGTTCCACCTGGTTGCTGCTGCCTTCAGTTTGAACCTATCTTCTGATAGTGCTGGCTGGAACTTTAAATGCAGACTATGTCCAGGGGTGTCCTTGGGACCCACAACTGTAAC